TGGACTCCTCTCCTGGGCCATCCGTGCTCTGGAGCTCCCCACTAGCCCACCTGACCTTTGGAGACCCACACAGCCCACTGGAGCTCCTTGGCTTTGGGGTTTCCCATGCACAGGCCGCTGCACCGCAGCCCCCCACTGTCCCCATGAAGTTTTGCTCTCCTGGCTGCATGTACAGCTCCACTCAGTCTGTATCTGGGGGAACTCATCCTATAACGGGGGCTGACACTATGGCCCCTGCAATAAAATACCTTCTTCCATCTGAAATAAGGAATCTACATTTTGAAGCAGAATGCGTACTTTCAGGGTCCAAAGATTCATCAGGCTAAAAGGCATTTCCACTCTTTTGTTTATGCTGGTGGAGACTTGGAGGGGGCCCCATGAAGATTATTTCTGCACTGGCAGGAAGGTCTCCGGGACACAGATATTGGGTCAAGTCCCGAAGGAAAGGCTCATACCTGAAGCACGAGAGGCTCCAATCAGCCTTGATCGGATCAGTCCCTCTTTCTTTTTGTTTCTTATTAATTTAATCTTGCCCCGAAAAATTTCCAGGCGATGGTCTAGTTTCTCTTTCAAATCATCTGGGAAAAAACAAAACAAAACCCAACACTTGACAATGTATAAACTAGAACTACAGAAAATAAAACAATTCATCACAATTTTGACTGATTCCTAAAAACCATGTTCTTCCACAGAAGTTCTAACTTTAAAAACTTCACCCTACAGGAGGAAGAGAAAGAAACATGATTCAGCATTGAGATCAACTGCACATATTCTGTGTTTCTAGTGAAATACCTCTATTTTGATAAATCGCTATTGTAATTTTAATAGAACAAACATGATTTGTGGCGCTCTGGAGAAACCCAACTTTCTCGCTCTCAGCTGTTCCTTCTGACTCGGCAACAACTCAGGCAAGGTGTCCTACCCGTGGGGGGGTCTCAGCTCTGTCCCCTGTGAGGCGGGCTATCCACCAATGCCTTGCAGGACCGTGGAGAGAGGGACAGATATGTCACGCAGCACAGGGCCTGGTACTCACTGGTCCCTCAGTATTTGGAGGGTGTTATGATGATGGTCAAGGGGGCTGGGCTCGGGCTCCTCAGGGTTCTTAGGAATCTGCATCAAGAGGTTGAGGATCCATGGAAGCAGGTTTATTATGATCTTGGCAGAAGGAGGGATCTCCTGCTTGTCTTTAAAAAGAGTGCCAGGGCCCCCCTTCCCCCAACTCAGAGGCCGAACACAGGCTGCAGGGCTGCAGGGCTGCACCTGCAGGGTGGGGGGCAGGGGGCTTGCAGCCCAGAAGTCTGCAAACACTTCTCCCACATGCAGAACGCAGAGGAACTCTGTGAGTCATAGCTCAGGGGAAATAAGGGCAGTTCTGGCAGCAGTGATCGCTGACATGACGTGGAGGGCTTGGCTTCTTCAGGAGATGGTCATGTTGTTGGCTAGTGCTCAAGAGGGCCCAGGACCATGAGAAAGATGCACGGCAGCAGGTCAGCTCTGGACATGCCTCTCGCATAACTCAGTGGGCCCCCCGTCCACTGCTGCCCAGGCTGAGGGAGTCCAGCGGCAGTGCCTACTGGTATCAGCTGGGAAAGACAAGCTGAAGTTCGCATCGTTCTCCTAGAGCCCGTGTGAAACCACTGTGAACTAAAGCAGGAATGTGAGTATCCTGAGCCCCATCAGAGTACAGAACACCCTGTTTCCTGTGTGTGTTTGAGCTTCTGCACGGGTCAACCAGTAGCCTCCTTGGTGGAGCAGGTGAAGTCACAAACTAGGTGAACATGGATTGAGGAGGAGAAGTCACGGTATCTGGTCTAGCAGCACACCCAGATGTTGGCAATCAGTGGTGATTCCCCTGGTGCCTAGAGAACCTATGAGCGGTCACAGGGTGTGTCTCTGAACTCATGGCATGGTTCTGAAAGGCTTGGGGAGGTGTCCCATGGCCATCCTGGAACTGTATGTCCGTAGCAGGACCCTTGTCCTTGTAGGTGAGCAGTTAGAACTCCACAGTCTAGCAGAAGATCCCCTCCACCCCGTCCCCTGCCCAGCATGCGGCCAAATCTGCTGCTCAGTGCTACTGATCCCATTAGGAATCTGACCATCTCCACACAGCCCGTCCTGTGCACAATCGTAGAAACAGCGGCTCCTGAAGAAATAATGTTATGAACGGTAGTGCCTGGCCAACGTGTGAAATCCCTAAATGTAGCCGACATTAGCTTGAGCTATTTTCCACCTTCCACTTGATACACCTAAAGTCCCTTCCCCTCAGGTGAATCTCCTGGGATGTCCTGCCTGTTCATCTTCCTTCTGTCTCTCCTCATTTCCTTTCCCAGCCCACAGTGGGTCAGATTCACAGAGGAATAGGTTAACTTTTAGGCAGGAAACCTATCGAATACTGAAAATATTGCTTCCATGGGAAATGGACCCCATAGGGACCTGCAGACTCCAAGAAGCTTTTCATTAATCTGGGTCCCCCTGGCTTGCCTCGGGTTTATAATTCGGTTGTAAAAAGGACAACTCATTTCAAATGCCAAGTGCATTTAATCAGATTTTGTGCTAGTATCACAACTCTTTAAAACCAGTGAGCAGGGAGGAACATGCACTTGACTGCAGTTAGTGTGATTAGAATTCATTCATGGTGGGGTGCCTGGGTGGTGCAGTAGGTTGAGCTTCTGACTCTTGGTTTCAGCTCAGGTCTGATCTTAGTTTAGGGTCACGGGATCAGGCCCTACGTTGGTCTCCGCACTCGGTGCGGAGTCTGCTTGGGCCTCTCTCTCCCTCTCCCTTGCCTCTCCCCCCATTCTCTCTCTCAAATAAACAAATCTTTAAAAAAATTTCAAAAAAAAAGAATTATTTCCTGAGGAGGACTTGGGTCATGTCACTCCCCTGCATTAAGCCTGTAATAGCACTCCATTTCTCCAGAGAAAATTCCAACACAAGCTGTGTGGCCTTTTTTTTTTTTTTTTAATTTTATTTATTTATTTATTTGACAGAGAGAGACACAGCTAGAGAGGGAACACAAGCAGGGGGAGTGGGAGAGGGAGAAGCAGGCTTCCCGCCGGGCAGGGAGCCCGAGGTGGGACTCGATCCCAAGACCCCGGGATCATGACCTGAGCCGAAGGCAGACGCTTAACTGACTGAGCCACCCAGGCGCCCCCCATGTGGCCTTTTTATAGCTGTGGTTTTCTGTCCACCCCCTCCCCCAATGCTATACTCATACATATACTACATAAAGTACAGGACTATTCCCACCTCACCACGTCACCTCTGGCCTCTGGGCCTTTACGGTGCTGTTGCCTCTGCCTAAAACACTTTCCTCCTCTCTCCATCTGGACAACTCAGACCTCAGTTTAGACGTCGCTTCTTCCTGAATGTCATCCGTGATCTCTGAAGACCAGGTTGGTGCCCCTACATTCAGCCACCTCAGAAGCGCTAACCACCCGTGAGCCCAACACCACAGGACAGGGACCGGCGTTTACATCCCCACCGGTGGACCAACAGCGCCTGCCTCGACACCCGCCGAATGTAAAATGTCTAGAAAGTGTAAAATCACGCAAGTGCCATCAGAGGTCGCACTGCCTTCAAAGCAGATGACAGGTGGATGGCGTTGTGTCTTACCAAAGTTGCTCATGTCATCTACCAAAATAATTTCTTCAAGGATGTGTTGTGGCGTGAGGTTTATGACACTAGACATGGTCCGAAACAAGGCGTTAAATTCCTCATTGTGGAAGCAAATAACCACACTGGCAGTGGGTAGGTTGGCTGGGTAATGTTTTTGAAGACACCTGCAGGCATAAATAAAAGGAAAGAAAAAACGATTTGGGGTCTCGCTGAAGCACTTTTCTTTATTTGCATTTTTTCTCTTTATTTCCTTAATTGATCATTATAATAAAGTGACACTACAGTTGAAAATACCAAAATTAAAATACAAAAGCTTCTTTAACTGCTTATGCTATTCTAATATTTTCTAAATCACTCCCTTCTTAATGTCAGCAATAATTGCTCTTCCCTGGAGACTCTGTTTTGGCCATCATAAGTCTATGTTGAACATAGTATAAACATGAATTATACCTATATTTTGGTTTCTATTATAAAAGTGTATTAATACACTTATACACATTGAAAGGTTCAAATTAACTTCATTGTACTATCTTCAAAGAAAATCTTGTGCTTTAGTTTGTTGTGGCAAAGAAATGCAGTGGATATGGTGTAATTGGATTTCTTCCAAGGATTTGACAAAAATGTGTTATTATTTTTGTGCACGAGAGAAAAAAACAAGAGCTGAATTCTAATGATATTAGTTATTAGCTATTAATTATTGTTTGAATTGCTACATGAGTTGGTTGTATTTTGAAATACTTTGGTTGTAAATGACAGGCCCACTGGAGCTAGCTTAAGCATAAGAAAGGGAAGTATATTGGAAAGGGACCCAAATGTCCCACAGGACGTAGTGACAGTTGTTCCGATGGAAACTTCAAGAATGACTGGAGGTAGAGGCTTGAAAGTCACCTGGACACTTGGTCCATTTCTGTTCTTGCCTTTACATCTGGGAATAATAGTAACTGTAACAACATCAGCCTACCTCATAGGTTGGGAGGGTTCAATGAATTAAAACGTCAGATGTTCAGAACAGGGCCTGGCAGATAGATAGAATCACACCAGGCTCATTATACAATTCTTATCCTCTCTCTGCAGCCTGGCTCATTTCCACTTCTTTATTCCACAGAGTGGGAAATGTGGCCAACATCAGCATATCTTATGGTCCAGCACCCAAGGAGAAACTGGTAAGACTTGCTTTTTCTCAAAAAGTCAGAGGTGAGGATTCACTGGCCCAGCCTGGCTCAGGTGCCCGTTGCTGGGCTAATGGACTGTGGCCAGCGAGTGGGGTCAAAATCGAAGTCACTATTCCCACTGCAACTTTGTGGAAAGAGAAGTGGGGCAGGAAATGCCAGTAAAGGAGGCGCTGGGTGGGGGCAAGCCTACAGGTATCCCACACAGACCCACAGCATATGCATGGGCAGATGTCACCATGGAAGCAGAGGGACTTCCCTAGTGAACACTTTTACCCAAGACTAGATGAAGATGTGCCTACCACGTAGATGCTGCCATCGTGCTCCGGGGAGTGGGACCAGGGAGAGGGCTGAGCGGCTGGGAAGGGGGCGGGGGGGAGCACATCCTACACATGTGGCTTCACAGAGACAAGTAGGAGAACGATCCACAGGCTTAAATTCCGGGAAGATCACTGAGTTCTCAAAGAGGAAGTAGGATGAGAGAGACGGGGTGGGGGACAATGAAAGGACAACACAAGAATGAGGGACACGATGGTCCAGGGTGAACTGGTGCTACTTAGGTCACATCTCTAGCATTATATCCAGTCCTGGGCATCTTTTTAAGAAAACTGTAGATAAACAGAGTCCCTTCGGAGGAATGAGACATTGATAGTGAAGGGGCCTGAGACTATGTCACACCAGGTCTCTTTAGGCCCCTGGGTGTATGAGTCTCTCCAAAATTAATTGATAAATGTTGCTGTGGTCTTTTCTGACCTAAACTTTTCTCACCTAAGTAAGCAGTTTTTCAGGGTAAAAGAAATTTGGACAAGGCCCAAGTTTGGTGGTCCTTGGTTAGCTGCTCTATTCTTTGCTGATCATACAGATCAACAAGAGTACAGTATAAAGCAGGACTATTGTGGGTTGAATTGTGTCTCCCCCAAATTCATACGTTGAAGCCTGAACCCCCAGTACCTCAGGATGTGGCCTTATTTGGAAATGGGATTGTTGCAGAAACGATGAGGGAGATGTCATTAAGGCGACCTAGGCCAATAGACTGGTGTCCTTGCAAAAAGGGAAAATTAGGGCACAGAGGCAGACACAGAGTGTATTGAGTAGGGAGGGAGGTTATTGGCTTACACACCTTGTGCACTAACACAGGAGAAAAAGCAATAGGACTGGGGGTATGTTGACTTGCCCCTTTTTGTGTTTTTTTTAATATATAAATGCCAGGTTTTCTGTGATTAACATTTAAAAGAAATCTGCATACTTATTAATTACAAAAGGCTAAATAATCATTTTACAGTGCAGCAACTTGACAGCTTCTGTTTCAGTCAAGTGATTGAAAATAATTTCACCCGCAGTCACTTCACTGGTAATGGGACAAATGGACATCAAGTGCCTCCTGATGCAGTGCTCTGAGGATGACACACAATCACGTCTATGGTATTCCTGCCAAAAAGCATGACCCGGATTTGATCGCAAGGTAACATCAAACTCAAACTGAAGAACATTCTAGAAAATAACTGGTTAGACCTCATGAAGGATAAAGACTTAGGAATGGTTTCAGATGAAAGAAAACCAAGGGCTTGGGAACACCACATGCAATCTGGGGTCTTGGGTTGGGTCCTTCCAGAAAAAGGACGCCAGTGGGGCAACTGTAAACATTTGAATCATGTCTGTAGATTAGCTAATGGTATTGTATCAAAGTTAATTTCCTGGTTTTGTTCATTGTTCTGGTTCTGAGGGTATGGAAGAGGTTAACATTTGGGGAATCTAAGAAAAGGCTATATAGGAATTCTTTGAGGTATTTTTGCAACCATTTTGTAAGTCTGAAATTATTTCAAAATTGAAAAGTTAAAAGATAAAAAATTAAATCAGAAGACCAAGCAACATAAAAAATGTACTCTTCAAATATCTGTATCAAATATTTCCATAGCTAGTGAAAACAATCATGTGAACTTTAAGGCACAGCTGAAATGGAAATCCCACTTAATGGAATAATAGGATTAGTATAACAATGGCTGAAAATCTGCTTGGACTCCAATAGTAGTTGAAATTTATTTTAAACACAAGTGTACCCTGTACATAATTGAATTTCCTATTAAATAAGTTAATATTCTGAATACTCAAACTTCCAAGTTCACTTCTCTCTTTGGACTGCCTCTCTCTAAAGTTTCTGGTTTTCCTAACAATCATGTGGATGGGGGAAAGGAAGTAAAGGTAGCTGCACTATTTTAGGAGATGAGATTTAGGGAGAAGAGTTGATTTTGTGGCAAGAAATTCATAGCTTACAGACATTCAAAAATATTGGCTTTCCTTTGTGGTAGTTCACTATCCAGTTAAGAAAAAAGTTGTCCCCAGGGGTACCTGGGTGGTGTTGTCAGTTAAGCTTTTGACTCTTGATTTTGGCTCAGGTAATGATCTCAGGGTCATGAGGTGGAGGTCTGGCGTCGGGCTCCACGCTCAGCGGGGAGTGTGCTTAGGATTCTCTCTTCCTCTCAATCTGCCCCTCCCTCCCCCTCAAATAAATAAATCTTTAAAAAAAAAAAGTTGTCCTCTAAATTAAATTCATATCATGTTCTATGGCTTGAATAAATTTAAATTCTTTTCCTTTGTGTCATCACATGTAAACACGATGTCCCTCGAATGTGCCTCATCTTAAGTGGTACTTAGCTACCTAGATGCTTTATTGATTCGTATATTTGTGGTTTGAAGTGTTCGTGTTACACACAAGTTGCAACAAGACACAGTGGGCCCCACTTTCTCCTGTTTCCTGGAGCTTGGATTTTGTCTCCGCGTTACTGGAAGATGCCTACATTCCTTAAGTGCTTCTCATTTAGTTAAGAGAGGGTGCCAACCCTCTTGAGCTGGAGCCCTCAGAACCACTGAGGCACATGCTACAACGTGAATGAATCTTGGAGACATTACGCTACGTGGAATAAGTCAGGCAAATACCGTATGATTCCATTTCTACGAGGTACCTAGAGTAGTTAATATTCACAGAGATAGAAAGTACAGGGGATCAGAGGGAAGAAAGAATGGTGAGTCCATGTTTAATGAAAAAGTTCTGGAGATGGGTGGTGATGATAGTTCTAAAACGATGTGAATGTACTCAATGCCACTGAATTGTACAGTTAAAAATGGTGAAAATGGTACATTTTACTTTATGTCCAGTTTACCACAAGTTTAAAAAAAGGCACCAACACAAATGAGAACAATGAGAAAAAGCAGATTTTGAATAAAAAAATAAGTAGCTGTCTGAAGCATTTTGTATAAGAAATATCCCTTTGGCCAAATTTAATAAAAAGATCTTATGGGCAACGCAATTCTTGTAAATCCCTAGAACACATTTGGTGCAACTGGGGAAGGTGTTCTCCACACTATAAACTCTAGAATTTTGAAATAGGCTCTTGAATTATCTGACTCCAAGTCCTAAAAACAGGAAAACTTCTAATATGCCAAAATTAAAATATGGTTAGTAACTGTTTATTTAAAAAACTAATATGTATTCACTGATAGACTTGTACACTGGAAAACTATAAGACATTAGTGAAAAGAAATTAAAGAAGACACAAACAAACAGAAAGATATTCTGTGCTCATAGACTGGAAGAACTTGACATTGTTAAGATGTCCATACCCAAAGCAATCTACAGATTCAGTGCAATCCATATCAAAATTCCAATGGTATTTTTCCTAGAAATAAAACAAAGAATCCTAAAATTTGTATGAAACCACAGAAAATGCTGACGAGGCAAAGCAATTTCGAGAAAACAAGAACAAAGCTGGAGGCATCACACTCTCTGATTTCAAACTCTATTACAAAGCTATGGTAATTAAAACAGTTTGGTATTGGCATAAAAACAGACATATAGATCAATAGAACAGAATAGAGAGTCCAGAAATAAAATCATGCATATATGATTAGTTAATTATGACAAAGGAGCCAAGAATATACAATGGGGAAAGGACAGTCTCCTCAATAAATGGTGATGGGAAAACTGGACAGCCACACGCAAAAGAATGAAACTGGATCACTATCTTACACCATACACAAAAATTAACTTGAAATAGATTAAAGACTTGAATGTAAAACCTGAAACCATAAATATCCTAGAAAAAAACAGAGGCTTTAAGCTTCTTGACATCAGTCTTGGTGATGATTTTTTGGATCTGGTACCAAAAGCAAAGGCAAGAAAAGTACAAATAAATAAGTGGGACTCCATCAAGCTAAAAAGCCCCCACAGAGCAAAGGAAATCATCAACAAAATGAAAAGGCATCCTACTGAATGTGAGAAAATCATATATCTGACAAGGGGTTTATATCTAAAATATATAAATAATTCATAAAACTCAATAGCAAACAAACAATTCAATTTAAAAATGGGCAGAAGATCTGAATAGATATTTTTCCAAAGAAGGCAGACAGATGGCCAACAGGTACATGAAAAGGTGCTCAACATCACTAATGATCAGGGAAATGCAAATCAAACCACAATGAGATATCGTCTCACACCTGTTAGGATGGCATTACCAAAAAGACAAGAAATAACAAGTGTTGAAGAGGATGTGAAGAAAAGCGAACCCTCGTGCACTGTTGGTGGGAATGCAAACTGGTGCAGCCACTGTGGAAAACAGCATGGAGGGTCCTCAAAAAATTAAAAATAGGGGTGCTTGGGTGGTTCAGTTGGTTAAGCATCTGCCTTCGGCTCAGGTCATGATCCCAGGGTCCTGGGATCGAGTCCCCCATTGGGCTCCCTGCTCAGTGGGGAGGCTGCTTCTCCCTCTCGCTCTGCCTGTCACTCTGCCTATCTGTGCTATGTCTCTGTCAAGTAAATAAATAAAATCTTTAAAAAAAATTCAAAAAGGGGCTAAGATAAGATCCAACACTTTCAATTCTGGGTATTTATTTAAGAAAATGAAAACACTAACTCAAAAAGATACATGCACCCCTATGTTCACAGCAGCATTATTTATAATAGCAAGACATGGAAACAACCTAACTGTCCATCAGTGGATGAATGGATAAAGAAAAATGTGCTATTATATACACAATGGAATACTTTTCAGCATAAAAAAGAATGACATCTTTCCTGAGGGCATTACACTAAATGAAATAAGTCAGAGAAAGATAAATACCATATGATCTCACTTACATGTAGAATCTAAAAACAACCAACCAACCAAACCTCCAAAACCCAACCTCATAAATACAGAGGACAGACTGGTGGTTGCCAGAGGAAGGCGGTGGGCAAAACAAAGCTCTATTATAAAATAAGTAAGTCATGGGGGATATAATGTCCACAGGGTGACTATAGTTAATATTACTATACTGCTTATGTGAAAGTGGCAAAGAGAGTAGATCTTAAAAGTTCTCATCACACACACACAAATACCTTTTGTAACTATGCATGGTAGCCAATGTTATCTAGACTTATTGTGATGATCATTTGGCAATATATATAAATATCAAATCATTATGTTGTACACTGGAAACTAATATAATCTTATATGACAATTATACCTCAATAAAAAAATGAGGATTAACATACATTTTATTCCTGGTATCTGGCACATCTCTCTCACTGCCCAAGCTTTCACTGAGAATGGCATTAAATCCATATTTTAAAAATCCAGCAATATATTCTGGTTTTGAATAGTTAGAATCCTTACCTGCAAGAAAGGGTAATTACAGTTACCTAAGTACAAATTTACTCCCATCACTTTGATAAAGGATAATAAGAACAACCATATCCTGAATTCACTCTTTTTATAATGAGCCAGTCATTTTCCTGGAACCTACACTACCTCCAGATGATAAGGCTAAAATCAAAGCAGATTCCTTAGCAAAGTATGAAAAACAAGCTAGCCTTTGGATATTCAGTCTCTTTAGGGAAGGAAGTGCTTGGCCTCCTTGGTTCCATCATGATTCACAACTGTCGTGTGAAATAACTGTAACTGAGGGATTTAGGAAAGGTGGGAAAAGAGAGCTAAAACCCCTCTCCTGAAATTCCATTGCAGAGAATAAAACAAGATGCCAGAGGCCAACCCAAACATACCAGTCATAACAATTAATGAAGATGGAGTAAATTTCCTATTAAAAGATAAAAACTCTTAGATGTCAATGAAGAAACAAAATATAATCAGGAAAGATAAACAGCATGAACTAAAATGCTTAAAAGAATGGTCTAAGAACACAGGAGTCAAAATATCATTTAAAAAAGTACAGAATTCATTGGAAGGAGCATCTGGAAAGTCATTTTATACTCACAGTAAGAATAAGTCACAATAAAGACTAGATAAGAATTAGCTTGCAGACATCAAATATTGCTGCAGTAAAATACTTACATTAAAATCATTAGAAATATCAATATACATTGCCACAAATAAACAGTAATGGAATATTTTAAGAACAACTCTAAATCAGAGAGAAAGAAAGAATTTGATTAATGTAATTCATTATATTTCCTTAGTGGATTTATATTTTGCTTTGTTTTTGAAGAATAAACTTTCTTTTCCAATGCTTATGAAGTGCTTTCCAAAACAGATATAAAAGGCTCTATTATATATAAAAGGGATTCTCTTCAAGATGCAGTAACCCCATTTCCACTAGGCCCTCTTTCTTGCACCTGAGAAATCCTGGACATGACACAACAGATAAGGATAGGAGGTTCTCTGAAAGGTCGAAACGAGCAGGCAGATTCCTGAGGCAGACCTCAGGAAGGGAGGAAGGACATGGTGAGCTCCTGATTTCCCTGCTGCCTCCCATAAATCCCAGACAGAGGTCTGTAGAAGCCTCCAAGTAGAACCACCAATAGGCACACACACATAAAAACTCCAAGATAAGCCTGGTCCCTTTAGCCACACAGCCATGGCCGGACCTACTCTAGTCAAGTCAAGCAGCAGTGGGAGAACCACACCAACCCCTGTGGCTTCAGTGCAGTGGGCAGGGAGTGGGCGTTTCACCACACCCAAGGGAGCAGCAGGCAGTGATGTGGGGGGGTCCTGAGCAGAACCTACCCTTTTTGTCCCCCTTCCTGGCAGAAGCAGGCAAAGCTCTGATTACCTACACGGGTGGTGTGGGCAAGCTGAGCAGGGAGCTGGTCCTCCATAAGCTGGTCTGGGGGAAGCCGGTGGAACTCTGATTCTCCCCAAGATAGTGCCATGTCAATGGCATGCTGAGCCTCCAAACCCACATGGCAGCAACAAGGCTCAGCCAGGGGGTGAAAGGTGGGACTAGTCACACTCCACATACCCTCTGCCCCTCATGTCAGCAGGGCCCAGTGGAAAGCTAAACCTCTATCCCACCTGGTGGCAACAAGAGAGAAGCAGTTTACGCAAAGCTGGGTAGTGACACTGCTTCCTATCTCCTAACCCTGGTGTCCATGAGGCCTACTGGGGAGCCAACTCAGAGACAACAATTTCATGCAAGTCTATGCCCCATGTTACCAAAGGGGGAGCTGAACTTCCCCCCACACTCAGGGAGGCAGTGCACCTGCTCCCTGGTTGGTGGGGTGGTGTCCACAGGCCCAGCAGGAAGCCTAGAATACCCACCCACCCAACACTTGACCCTTGTGCTGCATCTCAGTAGGGGATGGCCTGCTAATAAAGAAGCTTAATTAGGACCCAGAGTTTCATAATATTCAAAACACCCAAAATACAACAGAGAATCCTTTGTCATACTAAGAACCAGAGATCTCAAACTGAATGAAAAGACAATCAAGAGGTGCCAACACCAAGAAGAACCAGAGGTCGAATGATCTGACCAGGATGTTAAAGCAGCCTTCATAAATGTGCTCAGAAACAAATGGGAAAGGGAAGATCTCAGCAAAGAAATAGAAGTTATAAAAAAAAAAAAAAAAAAGGAACGTATAGAACTAAAAACTACAATAGTCTAAATAAAAAATTCACGGGCAGGCTTAATAGCAGAGTGATGGCTGATCAATGGAATCCACCCAATCCGAACAACAGAGAAAACAAGAAAAAAAACAGTCTCAGGAACTTGTGTACCGACAACAAAAGAGCTGATCTTTGTATTATCAGAGCCCTGGAAAGAGAGGAGTCATAGTGGGACTGAGAAAGTACTCTCGGAAATAAGGCTGGCAACTTCCCAAATTCAATGAAAGCTGGACATCTATAGACTCAGGAGGCTGAGCAAACCCCCAAAATAGGATAAACCAAAGAAATCCATGGCAGGACACATCATAATTGAACTTCTGAAAACTGAAGACAAAGGACAACTCTTGAAAGCAGCCAGAGAGAAAAAACGCAGGACTCATAGAGGAACAATCTGAATGACTGGATTTCTCATTTGAAATCATGGAGGAGAGAAGGAAGTGACAGAACATTTTTGAATGCTGAAAGGAAAGAACTGTCAACATCAAATTCTATACCCAGCAAAAATATCCTTTGGGAATTATGAGAAAACGAAGACACTCCCAAGTGAAGAAAAACTAAGAATTTGTGACTAGCAAACCCACCCTTAAAGAGCAGCAAAAGAAAGTTCTCTAAATAAGGAAATGGTAACAGAGGAGGGTTGGAACTTCAGAAAAGAAAAAAGAACATCAAAATGGATAAAAATAGGGGTAACTATGATAGACTCATTAAGAAACTCTCATGAGAGGGGCGCCTGGGTGGCTCAGTTGGTTAAGCAACTGCCTTCGGCTCAGGTCATGATCCTGGAGTCCCGGGATCGAGTCCCGCATCGGGCTCCCTGCTCAGTGAGGAGCCTGCTTCTCCCTCTGACCCTGCCCCCTCTCATGTACTCTCTCTCATTCTCGCTCTCTCAAATGAATAAATAAATCTTAAAAAAAAAAAAAAGAAACTCTCATGAGTTTCCTAAATCATATTTGACTTTTGAAGCCACAATTATAACACCATCTGATGTGGTGCTCAATACTGAAGACAATCATATTTTTAAATTGAGGAGGCTAAGGAACTGTTTACACTTTACTTGAAGAGGCAAAACATTGATTCAAGGAGACTGTGGTAAGTTATAGATGTATCGAGTAACACCTACAGCAACCACTAATAAAACCATACAAAGCAATCTTTTAAAAAACACTTTAAATAAATCAAGATGGAATTTTGAAAATGTTCAAGTAACTCACAGAAAGATAAGAGAAACAGAAGATTGAGAAACAGAGGAAATAAACAAAAAATAAATAAAATGGCTGAGAAACTCTGACATCAATAATTGTCTTAAATGCAAATGATCTAAATATACTAATTAAAAGCATAGATCAACAGAGTGGATTTAAAAAGTGTTCCAACAATATGCTATCTACAAGAAACTTACTTCAGTGAAACATAGGTAGATTGATAATAAAAGGACAGCAAAGGATGTATTTGCAAATATTACTCAAAAAAGCAGCTGCGGTGCCTGGATGGCTCGATCGATAGAGCATGTGACTCTTGATCTCAGGGTTTTGAGTTCAAGCCCCACTTTGGGCATGGAGCCTACTTAAAAAAAAGTAGGAGTGGCTATATTAATATTAGATAAAATAGATTTCAGAGCAGAGAAAATTAGTAGAGACAGAGACATTACCTTACAATAAAGATTCAGTGCACCAGTGAGACATAATGATTTCAAACAGAAACACGTCAAAAAACAGTCTCAAAATACATGAAGCAAAAACTAATAGAGATAAAGTAGAACCTGACAAATCCACAATTATAGCTGGGGTCTTCAACACCCTCTCCTAGCAACTGACAGAACTACTAGCCAAAACCTCAGCAAGGACATAGAAGAACTGAACAGTACGGTAAACCAACAGGATCTAGTTAATGTGTACGTAAAGACTACTGCACCCACAATAGCAAATACACTGTTTTTCCAAGTGTGCATGGAGCAGTCACCAGAGACGGACCATATTCTGGATCATAAAGCAAATCTCAAAAAACCTAGAAGAATTGAAATCATACAGAGTATATTTTCTGACTATAATGGAATCAAATTGGATGTCAGTAGTAGACAGTAGAAAATTACTAGATTCTGAAATTAAACAATCTACTTCCAAATAATCCAAAGAGAAAGTCTCAAAGGGAATATAAAAATATAGAGTACTGAATGAAAATGAAAATTCAACATATCAAAATATGTGCCATACAGCTGAAGCCATATTATAAGATGTCAATTCTCCCCAAATTGATTTATAGAGCCAATGCAATTCAAAATACCAGCAGTCTCTTTTGAAGAAATTGACAAACTGTTTCTAAAACCCATCCGAACAATCTAACGACCTAGAATAACCAAAACAATTTTGGAAAGAGTGAGAATAGAATTCAGAAAGAGACCCAACAAAAACAGTCAGCTGATTTTTGAAAGGTGCCAAGATGAAAAAAGGGAGATTTTTTTCAAGAAATGATGCTGGACAAAATGGATATCCACACAGGAAAAAATGAACATTGATCCTTACCTCCCATCACAGAAATTCACTCAAAATGGACCATGGTCCTAATGTAAAATGTAAAGTAAAACCTAAAATCTAAAATTTCTAAAAGAAAACACAGAAGGGAATCTTTGTGAACTTGAGGTAGGCAAAGGTTACTTCAATAAAACATAAAAAAACATGAACCATACAAGAAATTGGGATGAAATGAACATCAAAATTTAAAATTTTTCTTCTTGAATAACATCATTCAAAAGAGAATAAAAAATGTACAGTATGGAG